TTCCAAAGGTCTTGAGTTCAATTCCCAGCAACCATATGGTGGCTCACAACCCTCTGTAATGAGATCTGGTGCCCTCTCTGGCATGCAGGCACACATGTAGGCAGATATTGTGTGCATAATAAATGAATAAATAAAAAAAGAAGAACTCTGAATAATGACAAAAGAGGCATATCAAATCATCAGAGATCAATTAGAGATAACTGGAAACCAGTCTAGGAATTTACAGCAGTAAATAAGCTTTTGGTTGTTGTCCTCTTTCTGCCCCGCCTTTTTCTTGTCTTTGCTAGTTCTGATACCACAAAACTGCGAAACAAAACAAAAACAAGACACGTTCCTCTTCAAGATTGTGATGGTTAGATTTAATTATCATCCTGGCACAACCTAGATTCGCCTAGAAAGAGAGTCTCAATGAAGGACTGTCTAGATCAGGTTGGCCTATAGGCATGCCCGGGAGGCATTTTTCCTAAAGGCATTAATTGAGATGGGAAGCCAAAGCCTAAAAGTGGGCAGACCATTTGTGGGCCATGAACTGTTCAAGCATGTGTGCATTTATTCCTCTGCTCTTGACTGTGGATGCAATGTGATTAACTGCTAGAAATGCCTGCTGGGACTTCCCAGATAAACCCTTTCACCCCTAAAGTTGTTTTATCAAGATGCTCTCATAACAACGGAAAGAAACTAGAACAAAGATACAATCTGAAAACAAAAACTGCAATCTTGCAGGAAGAATAAGGCATATAATTTCAGTAACAAGTACATAAGGAAGACTAAGAAGTGCTCGAAGGAAAGGGTGGTTGGGTCTACCTGGGAGAGTCAGGAAAATATTTATTGAAGGATATTAAGTTGATAGGCAGAACAGCCAGAGGGAGAGCAGAGCAGAGATACGGAGAAGTAAAATAGCAAGTCTCACAGCTTGGCAACAACTTTAGATAGGAGAGGAATTTGGCACTATGGGGGTGGGGAGGATAAGAAAAGTTGGCTGTGGTCCCTCCCACCACTCCTCAGGGTCCACAGGCAGTTAATGGTTGCTGAGGAAAACATGTTTTCTTCAGTAGCAGCCACTGATAAGTTGAGAACCCTAATTAAACTCACTGGTTCTCTTCCTTTCCCCACCCTTCAACCCCCAATACACGGCAGAAGCCAGGGCTGGTTTTACATGTTAAGGAACATGTGTTACAAACTGAGGCCTACAATTTCAGTTTCCTTTTTTAATGGTGTAACTTTGAACAAGCTGCACATTCTCCTTAAACCTTATTTTCCTCACTGACAAAATAAGGTTATTAATAGAACATTCAGCACAGTCAGTGAAGGACTGTGAGCTAATCCTTGGGAAGGACTTACTATAAAACGTCTGACTTATTGGAAGGCATCAAAAACTACTAATACCAATGTCACAATCAGTGTCACTATAGGCCACTTTGTTATGAGACTATTATGGTGGGCAAGGCAAGAAATGAAGACTCCCTGGACAGAAGCAAAAGTGACAGATGTGGAAAACACAGAAGCAAGCCACCTTTCTGAGCTGAACTGATTAGATTTGGTAACAAGGGACAGACAGATTACTATTGACAGTCTTGAATCAAATATGAGTCTAGATTCCTGATCAGAATAAGAAGCAAAAGTATTTAGCAATTTGAGATGTGTCAAATATAGGATACACCTGGGCAACATGCAGATGAATCAGCCAAGTGAGTAAACCTGAGAAAGGCACATCTTGGGCTTGAGGTAAAATGTGGAAAAGACTCTTTTTCTTCAGGTTTTGTGATTTAAAAACCACTCTCACTGTAGCCGCTACTGAACCAGTGGTACTAAGGAACTACGTCTAATATATGTAATACCTCCTGGTCTGGTTTCCTGAACGACTGACCCAACTGAGAAAAAGAAAATCCAATCAACCAAATTTTCTGTCTGTGCCTTTAAAGTCATGTGGATCACAGACAGGTGTGCCTTACCATGTGAGGGAAAGCCACGACAACTTACACATAATTAAAGAGAGAGATGTATATAGGGGACACAAAAACAGAAGCGAAGGAGAGAAAAATGAGGCCTCTTAAAAAGAGAAAGAGAAATAAGTTGTGTGATAACTTGTTTTGATAAAGTCCAGCTGAATCTAGATGCTAGATTCACTAGGATCATCCTGTGGCCACTTCTACTTGTGTTTCTTTGTATTGCAGCAATCAAACAATCACTATGGCCAGGCAGTGGTGGCACACGCCTTTAATCCCAGCACTCGGGAGGCAGAGGCAGGCGGATTTTTGTGGATTTTTGTGAGTTCGAGGCCAGCCTGGTCTACAAGAGCTAGTTCCTGGACAGGCTCCAAAGCCACAGAGAAATCCTGTCTCGAAAAAAAAAAAATCACTATGACTAAAAGAAACAAAATTGCTAAAGAACATAGAAGAAGACAAGAGCATGGTCAAGGGTAGAACCCTGGAAACATCAACACAGAAGAGGGAAACAAAGTAAAAAGCCAGTGAAAGAGGCAGAAAAGGGATGAGGATGTAGCTTAGTTGATGGAGTGTTTGCCTAGCACTGTCTCAGACCACATAAAGCACCACAAGGAGAGGCAGAAGGAGCAAGAGTTCAAGATCATCCTCAACTATACAGATGAGACCAGTCTGTTTCATAGAGAAAGAGAAAGTGGGGTGGGGGTAGGAAACAGAAAAAATCAACATTTATAGAAAGAAAAATGACTGAGGAAGAAGCAGTCAACAGAAGGGAGGGTTCCGAGGAACAGATTACAGTGATAAGTACAAAAGAGAAGTCAGGCAACAGGAAGATAAAACTACATCATTGAATATAGTAACTGTATTGTAGATTGCTGCTACAGTCAAATAGAGAGGCAGAGATAGGCAGATCTCAAATTCAAGGGAAGCCTGAGTTACAACAGTGAGCCCCTGTCTCAAAATAAGGGCTGAGGAAAAGCAAGAAGGCTCAGCAAAGGTTCTCACCTCCAAGCCAAGGTCTGAGATTCTGGAGTTTCACAAGGTGGAAAGAGAGAACGAACTCTTGCCAAGTTGTTCCCCAACCACCAGATATGCACCATAGTACACACTCACAAGCACCCATCTGCATACACACACATGCTCACAAGCACCCACCTGTACTCACACACGCTCACAAGCACCCACCGGTACTCACACACACAAGTTCACAAGCATCCATGTGTGTGTGTGTGTGTGTGTGTGTGTGTGTACACGCCCACACACACACACACAGAGTAGTTAACAAATATATTTTTAAAATATTTAAATAAGTAAATCAATCACTCAGTCACTGGTGATTCTTCATAGAGCAGCAGTAATAATGGAACATAAAAACTTTGCTTGGATCTGACTGCCAGGAAGGCGAACCTTAAGAGAGTCCTTTTGTTTTATTTTGTTTTGTTTTTTTCGAGACAGGGTTTCTCTGTGTAGCATTGGAACTCGTTCTGTAGACCAGGCTGGCCTTAAACTCACAGGGATGACCTGCCTCTGCCGCCCAAGTGCTAGCAACCTTAAGAGAGTTTTAACCACACTTCTGCTATGATCTTATTATTCTTTGCATGTTTGTGTATGTGTGGTACACATTTGTGTGTAGGTGTATGTTCCAGTATGTGTGGGGGTCACTTGTAGGAAAGAATAAGAATGCACATGTGTGTGCATGTGTATGAAGGCCAGGAGTTGACATGCAGGTGTCTTCTTCAATCACTCCCCATTGCTTATGCACTGACTGAAGCAGGGCCTCTCACTAAACCTGGATCTCATCAATTCCAAGTGGTCTAACTAGCCAGCTTGTACCAGGAACCACCTGCTTCTACCTCCTGTGTGTTAGGATTACAAATGCTAGCAGGGGATGGAGCTCCCTGTGCTTCTTGATTTTAATAAAATTAATGTAAAACTCCGTCAGCTGGGGTTGGAGGTATAGCTTGGTGGCCTGACAAAGTCAAGGTCCCCCTGGGATCTCTCCCCAGTACTGCCCCCATTCTCCCTCCCCCCACCCAAATCAATTAAACACTTCATATTTACAAAACACTCTAGTCCTTAATACATGATCGTATTCCAAAATAAATAGGTTTTTCAGGCATGGTAGTATACGCCTATAATGCCTACTACTTTGGAGACCAAGACAGGAAGGTTGAAAGTTGAAAGTCAGTCTGGACAACACAGGGAGCCCTTGCCTGAATATAATAGGAAAAAAAAAAAAAAGATAGAGCACTTGCCTAAAAAGCAAGGCTCTGGGTTAAACCTCTAGTGCTACAAATAATAAGACGGTGGTTAAAGGGGGTAGGTTATAAAACTTCTTTTGAAAAGTTAGATCTATTATTTGTTTATTCTATTGTATGAGTGTGTACGCTTGTGCACCATGTGTGCCTGTTGCCTGCAGAGGTCAGAACGAGCACTGGAAACTCTCGAAGTAGAGGAATGGGAGGTTGTGAGTCTCCATGTGGCTTCAGGACACCAAACCTAGGTCTTCTGGGAGTGTTGATAACCTCTGGGCCAACTCTCCAGCCTTATAAAATAACTTTTAAAATGTGAAGTGGTGTTCTTAGGATCTTAGGAACCATCCCCTGGTATTGCCAACCTTACTCTGCTGAGGCAGTACAGTAACACTGTTGGCTCCACACTTACAATATATGGGGGGACTGGCAAGATAGCTCAGTAGTTAAAGTGCTTAACACACAGCGTGAAGACTGGAGCAGGGGTTGGGGGACAAGCATGAAGCCTGAAATCCATATACCCACATAAATACTGGGTGGGTACGATGGCCTGCCTGCAATTACAGTCTCAGAAGGCAGACACAGGGGATCTGCAAAGCGAGCCGACTAGCAAGACTCGCTGTATGAATGAGCACTGCCTCAGTGAACAAAATGGAAGATGAATCGAGAATGATTTCGGACATCAATCCCATGGCTTCCATATGTACAAGAACCCACGCACATGTAAAAAACATGCCAGGTGCGTGCGCGCGCACACACACACACACAGAGTAAGAAAAGCTGGGGAAACATGAAAGAATCCTACCTTCATCAAGTGCTTGTTGACCCACTTGGTGAACGTTTTCTTTTGAACTCGATCCCGCTCATCTGCAAAGGAAACACAGAAGAGGGGCTGACTGAGTGCTCTGCAGGCAGCTCGCTCCCACACCTCTGCCCTGCCCACATCCCGCTTTCTCTAGAACCAACACAAAAGACTAACTTTAGGTACAGAACCATGGGACGATGACTTCTTGTTAGGGAGATTTGGCTCATTCAAACACCTCTGTTCCCTTTTTTGATTATGACCATTTTGCCTCTGGACAGAATCACATGACTCAAAAATCTCATGGCAACGTCTCCTCAGCACAATGATTTGAGGAGAGCAGGGGCAGGATGGTTGGTCTCCCACATCCCCCACAAGTCCCAACAGGATAAAGTTACAAATAGTAGCAAGAGAAGGGTGGGGAGGCTCAGGTGTAGTACAGACACTACAATTGCTAAATCTCTCTACATCACTCAGCCCACCTAACTGCTGCCTCCTCTCATGCCCAGTATTCCATTCCAGTTTCCTCACAAGTCATTAACATCCAGCCAATGCCCCCAAAGCCAAGTTAGCTTCCCTGAGCATCTCTTCCCTTTCCCTTCTCCTAAGTTTACAAAGACAAACTCCTCATCTCTCTCAACCCCCCACCAAAGACCTCTTCAACAGAAACATCAGTTCTGTCAATACCTGACAATGGCTGCCCCACAGACAACCAGTCCTGTGAAGATTCACTTGAGGCAATTCCCAGCAATTCCCAAGAGCCAATTCCAGAAAACTGAGGGGCCAGCCCTGATTCTTTTCTATTTACCTAAAGATTGAACCACCCATAGAGCGCTCTATTCAATCATCCTCATTGGGAGACCATGAGCAAAATACATCATATATTATATAAAAATATAATGAAACCCATCTTGTTTTTTGGTTTTTCTTTTCTTTTTTTGGTTTTTCAAGACAGGGTTTCTCTGTAGCTTTAGAGCCTGTCCTGGAACTAGCTTTTGTAGATCAAGCTGGCCTTGAACTCACAAAAATCTGCCTGCTTCTGCCTCCCAAGTGTTGAGATTAAAGGCAAGTGCCACCACTGCCCATTTTTTGAATGATAAATATGCTAATAATTATTTTTAAATTTGTATTACATTTTATTGAGAGAGAAAGAGACAACGTGTGTGTATGTGTGTGTGCGCCATGCTATGTGTGTCTTTCAGACCAGAGGACAACCTGAGAGTCATTTCTCTCCTTATCATATGGGCGCTAGGGATTGAATTCAGTTTGTCAAGTTTGGCAGCAAACAGAATTTTCCACTCAACTATCTGTCTGTCTCTAATAATGATTTTCAAAAGGAAAAACATAACAAAACCATAAAAGAAACATTCTCATTGTCACCGACCACTCCCTGCTGCCCCCCACTGCCCCAAGGTGAATTTCAATCATTCCTAGAGATTAAGTCACAAGACATGCCGGCGGTGACGCCATATATCTTTAATCCCAGCACTTGGAAGGCAGAGGCAGGCGGATCTCTGTGAGTTTGAGGCCAGCCTGGTCTATAGAGCGAGTTCCAGGACAGGCTCCAAATGCTACAGGAAAACCCTTAAATAATAAGCCCTAAAACAATAAAACAAAAAACTTATACAACTGGCCAAATACATGGTTCTATGACTAGTGAAACAACAAGAGATGAGGGGAAAACAACAACAACGAGAGCAAGGTGTAGAGTGGGCAGCCCACGGGAGCTCAACACCCAGCTGAATTCTGTGTAAGAGCCCAATTTCATACACAAACTCCTCAAACTTCAATTGAGTGCCACTTGGACTGTATGCTGGGCCATCAGCCGCAACAGAAAGAGAGAGCTAACAGAATTCCGACCCTGCACTTCCACGCACGTCAGACACATTCTGCTGCACTAGATTAGTTGCTTTCAAAGACCAAGAACAGTCTGATTCCAACTGTAAAACCTCTCACCCTGAAGACACACATTTTCTGCTGTTTGCTTTTTAGAATTTCATTTTAAAACTTACACATTTAGAAGCAGGGTGTGGTGGCACACACCTGTAACCCAAGCATTAAGGAGTTGAGGCAGGGAGATTCTGAGTTCAAGGCTTGCCAGGACTAGAATGAGACTCTGAAAAACAAACACAACACAACATTTGCTGTGCTACCATCACAGGTCAGCTAATTCACAGATAGAAAAGAAAAAGGTAAACAAAATTTATTTTAACCTAATCAGTACTTTTAAGAAGTGGGATTTTTTATTTTAGTTTATTTTTTTAAGGCAGGATCTCATAGACCTGATCCTCCTGCCTCCATGCCCCAAGTGCTAGGAATACAGGAATGCATCAACATATTCAGCATCTCTCTTAAATTCTCTGTGGTAAAAGATATGGTCAAGCATTCCTTTCCCTTCCCCCAACTCCAAGACAGAGGATCACTAGACAGCTCAGGCTGGCCTGTGGACTGGTAACTCTGCTTCAGCAGCTCAGGTATGGACCACACACCAGGCTTCTTCCCGTCTTTTCAATCTCTACCTTGAAGCTGAGATTCTCTCTACCCTAACTCTCCCTCCTCTGGTTGCTCCTTTTCTTCTGCTCACTCTAATTGACTCACGCTTAGTCCTCTTTTTCCTTTATTCTACATTATAGTTTCTTAAAGTATCTATGGACTGAAGACTATTGATAAATTTGAAAAGTGTGTATAAACTACTTAAAATTAGATGGGAAAATGTTGGTGTTATGTGAGGGGGGAGTATGTAACTCTTTAAAACAAAGTTACTAATACCTGTCGTTTACATTGTCCCAGAATTATTAGTCCTGTCCCATTGGTCTTAAATGTAACCTATATACTGGTAAATCCATCTTCACCTCAGGCTTTTAATCCAAACACTACTCTCATATTTAAATTGCCTCCCAAATATTTTGTATCACTCTCATCTGAAATTCAACTTCTCTAAAATTAAATTCTTGAGCTGGGTATACAGGTGAGTGGCAGAGTACTTGTTTGTCAAATATGAGGCTCTGGGTTCACCACTCAGTATCTGAGGTGTGTGGGGGACAGCAAGCACATGGGAAGGAAGGAAAAAAGGAAGGAAGGAAGGAAGGAAGGAAGGAAGGAAGGAAGGAAGGAAGGAAAGATTATATTCTAAAATCTCCCTGTTCTCAACAGGTTTTGCTTGCATCATTTCTGCCTGTACTGTATCAGCCAGGATGATCTTGCTCCTGTCTACCTTAAAATCTTCTAGTCGGGAGCTGGAGAGATGACTCAGCAGCTAAGAGCACTGGTTGCTCTTCCAGAGGTTCTGAGTTCAATTCCCAACAACCACATGGTGGCTCACACCTATCTGTAATGGGATCCAATGCCCTCTTGTGGCATGCAGGCATATTTGCAGACAGAGCACTCATACCCCCCCCCCAAAAAATCTTCCAGTGAGTATCTATTTAGTAGTCAGAAGTTGTGTGTGATGGCTCACACCTATAGTCCCCAGCACTTAAGAGACTGGGCCAGTGGGACTTTAACGTGTGCAAGGCTGTCTTGGGTGACATAGTAAAATCCTGACTTAGAACAAAAGAAAAATTAGTAGTTAGAACCTACTGAATATCTACTCACATGTGCTTAGCACCTTCATAGTCTTTCTGATGTTCAACAGCCCTATAAAGTGGCTACTATGCTAATTTAATAGACCAATAAAGCCCAGCAACGACAAGCAACTTGCCCAAGATCATAGGAGTCACATATGAACCCAACTCTGCACAATGCCATATCCTAATACTTCATTCAGGATAGCACTCACACTACATAGCTTAGGACCTACAGATCCACTGTTACATGATCCCTGCCTGCTGCTCATTCTTTTTCACGCTTCCATAAAATTTCCAGCCCCTATTTATTCTCATTTATATTCCAGGCATGCTCAGTAAGGCTTATTAACTTTTCCAAAGTCACACAGTAAATAGTAGAATACAAATTCACGTTTGCTATATTCTAAGTCATAGATTTTTATCCACTATACATAGAGCCTCCATGGACTTATTCAAGCCAGCACAATAGTGTCCCACATACACAGGGGAAAGGAGTGATGTGAATTGTGAGGATGGCATGTGTTCACAAGGACATCTAATATCAAGAATTAATGATGCCAAGAAGGTCTCCACAGGGTTATTTAGGATTTTAGAGAAATGATAACTCTAGAGCCCTCAGGGCAAAGTTAAAATTTACCTTATTTCTTAAGAAAGTTTTATCTGTATTAATAATAACTGTCTGGACTTTTGGAAAGTACAGGACAATAGTTAAAGAAAATTGCCAGGTGCTGAGGAAATGACTCAGTGAGTAAGGGCACTATCTGTGCAAACATGAAGACGCAAGTTTGAATCCCCAGCACCCACACAAAAGCTAGGTACAGATGTATATCTATATCCCAGCACTGGGGATACAGCGACAGGTAGATCCCCAGAGCTCCTTGGCCAGTCAGCCTAGCCAAAATGCAGGGCTTCTGACTCAACAAGAGATCCCGTTTCAAAAAGAAGGTGAAAAGCAATAAAAGGAGACCCCTACTACCTTCCCCTGCTGCCCACAATGGGGTAGGTCCATCCACATGCACATACACCACACTACACTACACATACACACACACACACACATACACACACACACACCCAGGATAAGTGTATATAGTTCAGTGTAAGAATTTGTGATTAGCATACCTGAGACCCAGGCTTTGAAGCCTGGCACCCAAAAAATAGGAGATGGTAGGAGAAAAAACAAAGGAGAGGAATGGGAAAGAGGGATAAAATAAAGGAGTCAGAGTAGGCACAGTGGCAAAAGGACAAAGACAAAGTAGGAGAAACTAAAACAGAGAACAGAAGGAGACAAGAGCATAGTTTTCTAGAATATTCACTGAAGTATTACATTCATGAAGGCTAAATATTTTATAGATACAGGGACACTGAAGAATCCTCAAAAAAGCCAGGTGGTGGTGGCGCACACCTTTAATCCCAGCAGCAGAAGGTAGAGGCAGGTGGATCTCTAAGTTCAGATCCAGCTTGGTCTAAAGAGTGTGTTCTAGGCCAGGACTACACAG